GTATCTTTTGCCAACATTTGATATAAACAATGACATGCACAAATAATGCACTTAGTGACCTGATCACTTAACCGTTTCTGTCTGTTACGGCACTTCAGATGGAGATTTTGTCCGACTTCTCTGGAATATTCACTGTCAGAGATAATGATGTGGGTTACAGTAGGAAACATTTCTGGGAGTGATTGACTAGACGTGTGCGCTATACCGCCGAAGGCGAACAAGGATACGGGTGTGGAGAGTGGGTATGGATATGGGTGGGGGTGAGGATGAGTGAACGGGTGTGAGTGTGGATATGGATGTGAGTTCAGAAGGAGAGAAGTCTCACACCAACACCCGCACCCACACCCACTCACACACCGTTTTTATGTGTATTATAAACGTCTACTCTTGTATTATTCATATATGTCTACGTAAATTTGTTCTAATCATAAATTCTATATTTTAAATCAAAAATACAATTTGCAACTATTTTGCCGTAAGTAGTCTGCTTGTAGGCTTTAAAATTTTCATGAAGAGTGTGAGTGTGGTGTGGGCATGGCGTGGGTGTGGATCGGTGCTACTGTGGGTGGTGCAGACAGGACCCACACCCACATCCACATCCCTGCATCCATACTCATACACCCACTTCATCCACACACTCACAACCAGACGTACACACCTACAATCCACACCCCACGCCTGCCCATACTCACTCACACAGACATTCACACCTCACACTCTTCTCGGCAGAAAATAACAAACAATTGCTAAGCGATATGGAACCGGACAGGGCGTACCAGGACAAGCTCGACAACAGGGTAGGACAAATAAAGCTTGATCTGTACCATTTTTTGGTTTGAGTCCGCTTAGAAAGGTTTCTAGCAATAGCTGCGAATTTTTATAATTAAATACCAAAGCTTTTTTTCTTTCGAGACCAACTTAAGATGAAAATATCTCATGCATGATGAGTAATCAAGGGTTCGCTCTGCAGACTTCTGTAGTGTGTGTTCAAATGAAATCGAAGCTATGTCCCTGCATAGTTTTCATTACTTCTATGAATTTCATATAAATATATGTTATAGTAGGATGATTACGTGGTAGCGTTTCCATAAACGTTATCGCTGCTCGTTCCAAATAACGGAGGCCTTGTCGATAAGCACTACGGTCAAATTCCAGACAGACCATCGTTTGATAAGTGGTTGTGATACTTCCATCATTAGATCGAAGCGATTTTTCGAAGATCTTTAGAGCATGCTTGATATGAGTCTGAGTACGATCAAGTTGGCCAAGCCTGCGATAGACATTCTCGATATTGTGCTTGACACACCCAGTTCAGAGTGATTAGAAGGTAGGATACTTTCTTGAATTTGCATGGCTTTCTGATGATATTCAAGCGCTTTCTCGAATTGTTCGATTTCTTCATACACATTTCCCATATTGTTTAGACATGAAGTAAGATCATGATCATGATGTTGACCAAAAAATATTTATTGCTTTGCTATATGATTCCAGTGCTATGTCATATTTTTTATGACACCAATGAAGATTACCGATAGTATTCCAAACGCTACCAAGGCGATAGTGATTTGATGATAATCTCTATTGATAATATTCAAAAACTTTATTCTGTCACATAAGACCACTATCAAGATCACCTTTGACTGCAGCAACAACACTTAATCCTTGATAACAATATTGTGTAAAATTATCATTCGATTTGGTTTGTTCTAATATTCGATGGTAAAATTGTTCAGTTTGATCATAACGTCCAGATTTCCAAAGTAATGTTCCAAGTGTTAAAAGCGTCTTATCAGATCCTTCGAGTCCGATGTTATATTTCATTTAATCAACGAGTCTCTTAAAGTCAATTGCATCTGCTTCGGAGCATGAAATCAGTTTGAAAACAGTCACAAATTTTCTCATATAAGTTTCTTCCAGACGAAACGTATTTCCGATCATGAACGACGTCTCTTGTTCTGCATCTTCAAAGATACTCATTTCAGTTATATCAATAAAAACTTGAGTTTTATGGTTCATGAAATGATCAAGACGAATTTCGAATAAAATCGATTGTAGATCAGTAAATACTATCAGACCTTCTACAAATAGAGTCAGTCTATATTGTCGATCCTTACTCGTAGAAAGAAACGATGTGAATGAAATCAATGCCTCAATGGAATATTTTAGTTGAATGATTTCGGCAGGAGACATCAATTGACGACAATAGACATTGGCGAAAGATGAGGCACCTTGTTGTTATTGCAATCGTACCAGTATTTGACGCATGTTACGAATAAAGAAACGAAAATAAAAGAGTCAATTAATATTTTGTAAACGAAGGGCTTTATTCAATTGCTGGTAAACAAATGCCTCTCGAGCGTATCATCGTACAGCATCGGCGGGAATATAATCATTCTCAACTTCATCAATAGTACGAAGAATGTTTTCTTACCAGCGTATCTTTCCCGATATAGATCAATGAATTTCTTGCGATCATTTGAACTCGACTCAAATCTTATAAGTAACTTGATTAGAACTTGAAAGTGTAAAAAAGCTCCATTGATATTCAGTGCTGATTTTTTAACACCATCATGAATATGAAACCTGTTGAGAATGAGAGGATCACCGATTCCATACCGACGGCTTCGATCTGCAATGATTTGTGCTAATAAATCGTCTATGTCATTAAAGATTTTCTTTATCTAAAAGAGATATTTGAGTTAGATGAATCGTTTAGATGTAAGATTTGATACTCTCACCTTGGAATATGGTTTTATCTATTCATTCTCTGTTGTATCTGCATCTACGTTATAAATATAAAAGTCAGAGATCTGTGTATACGAATGAAAACGAGAAATAAACTCGTATCCTGATTTTTTTCCAACGATGACCACATGTATAGTGAAAGTAAAAATAAAAAGTTTTCAACGATTGTTGATCGAGTAAGATCATTCTCATCATACGAATTTTTCAAGGTTAGGAGAACTACTCTATCAGAAAGTGCACTCGAAACTTCAACACAAATCTTGTTAATATTTTGGTGATGAGGGTAAATGGGGTGTGAGTGTGGGTAAGATGAAGACTAAAATTCACGCCCATACACCAACATTCATATCCTGCACCTACACCCATAAGATCTTTTATCTGATGTTGAAAAATATGTCGAAAAACTGAATATCTAAGCAAAACAAAGAAATAATCTGATGAGTTAATTTTGATCTTTTGATAATTAAGAACATGTTAAATGCTTACCTTTGAAAAAACGAAAAAAAGTTTCTTCTCCAAATTTGAAGAGTTCTAGAGAAGTTAAATTTAGATAATCTTCAGCAAGAAGAATACGTTCCATAGATGTTGTATTGCGAATGAATTTTTTGATAAAATGATTTGTTCGAGGTAATACGTCACTATAAAATCGATCAATTTTGTCATTCGTAATTGATGATGTCCTTGTAAAGTTAAGAATATTAGTATATACATTATCTTGTACCAAGATGTCATGTCGTTCGCTATTTATCCTAAATAGTGAATAGAGAATATCAATATTGTCAAGTTTTTTCAAGATGATAATCAATATTTCATTGAATAGATCAAGAAATTGAATGTTTAACTGATTCATATTTACTTATAACTGTCACACTTCTAAAAACATATATATATATATATATATATATTCGTGTTTTTATGCTGACCTTTTCCAACAACGAAGAATACAATCTATGATCGTGATTCACAACAAAGAAATGTTATCGGTCGATATATTGTCGAATCTGATCATCAACATATGCTGTTCTCTTTTTCAACACCAAAATTTTGCTGTTATCATTCCACTATGTTCATTCGCATACACATAGATGATGTCATACTAAGCAAAGAGAAATGCACATGTGCATTAAAAAAACAGAAGGATTTGTTTTGTGTACTTATATTAGAAATAGATTAATGAGAAAGATATATTATAACGATCTACATATTGTTTTCATTGATCAAATTAAACATCTTTCAACTAATAAAACAAAAAAAAATTAGTGGAATATTATAGTAAGCTGTTACAGAGAAATTTTGATTATTATTGAGCATCTGTAATCAAAATAAAGAAGATGAGAAGATTTTTTTGTACATTATAACTATATATTTGTGTTGAAATAAGTAAAGTAAGCAAAGTCCGACCAATATTAGGAAATTAGTATAAGCATCAGGAGAACCCATTCAAACTATTTTTATCCAATTGGATGGAAGAAAAAAAACCATCAAAATGACAATCGTTGAGTAATTCATTGTTTATTTAATAATTGTATAGATTCACTAGAGGGTACGGGTGTGGGCGTGATCTCACTCTTAACCCACACCCAAATTGATCACGAATGGATTTTATTCACGTATTTTATTTCATTTCTTGGAACTAGCTGTAAAAGCTGATGGTTAGTACAGTTATGTTTTAACTTTGAGAGGTCCCACAATATTTGAATGTTCTCAGAAGTGTGAATGATAGGTAGGAAATCGTCAACTTGAAATTCAAATGTTCATAAGAAGCAGTTATATTGCCGATATAAGTGTACATATGAATATATAAGTATGTACATTTACACAGTCAACATATAAGAATTCATCTATACCTTTGACATGATAATTCAAAAGTTTTGATGAACTTTGTGTACAGTCTGTCCAGTCAAAAATGACTATGGTTGGCCAAACTTAAGCAAAAGATTTCTCGAACAAAAATTAATCAAATTTATTCGTACGAAATCATTTTTTAGATTTTCATACGTGTTACATCGATAGACAACATTTTTTGTGCAAAATCAGGGGAAAAAGCGCCTTATTGTTTTTAACATATTTCGAGCGCTATTATATCAAAATAGAAGTATCATCGAAGGTTGAGCTATAGTTTAACATAAATGGATCATCTTCTTTTGTTGTCAAAACTGTAAAGACCATGGTTTTTTTTTAGTGAATGTAAAAGAAAAATGATTGAGTGTGTTATTATAATGTTTTAGTAATAAATCTTGTCAAGAACAACCTTCTAAAAACTAAATTTCATCATGGTGAGATCTTTTATCTTAGCGACAAATACAACTGAAAATATTTTGTTTATAGTGAGAAAGATTTTCAAGAATGTGAACTTTTTTTAAATAGTTCTAGTGAAAATGGTCCTTTTGGATAAGTATGTTATCACGACTTTCTATTCTTGTAAAGCCGTCATAGTTCAATTAAATCAAATGGAAATTTTACTGAAAGTAAAACTTTTATATATCTTGCTATAATGTAAGTTTCAGCTCTTCATCACATTAAGTTGCTAAATTATGATAATCCGAAGGTCAAATATGGATGATTACATTACCTGTAGGCAGGCTGTAAATTTGTACATATAAATACGACTAGGTTTATATCTATCGATACAATTTCTTGTAACAGATGAATATACATAAAAGTTCTTTTTATAGGCAATATCGTATCTTTGTAAGGAGACAAGCAAAGATTCTGAAATTTTCAATGTAGATGAGTCCTAGTTAGATTTACCACCCGTGAAAATTTCATTCATTTTGACGCAGCTAGAGCAGAACTATTTTCAAAATACTGACCGTTATGCAATTTAACTTTTTTTTGAGATTCGATAGTGATTAACATTTTGCGAATAGTTCTACTTTGACTGGGCCAAAAATGAACGACATTTTCATAGATGGTAGATATGACTAGGACCCGTCTGCATTGAAAATTTCAGGGCCTTTGCTTTTGTCTCCACCGAGCCACATCTCATTCAAGACAAAAAAAAATGAAATTTTCTAACGTTTGACCACGTTGAAAAAATAACTTTGATAATATTTTTTTTTTGATATTTTTATCAATATAGTATTTTTGTTGAATTGATACAAAATTGAATCCAAACTCTTTTGAATAAAAGGTTATGTACTACTTGTCAAATACATAAGTTGAATATTCGTCAACTTTGAAATATGACTAAGATTTATAAAAAAATAAAAATGGAATCGAAATTTATGAAACCATTCTTTATATACATATATATAAATTAGATAGTGATCGAAGTAATGTCGTCCTCATTCTTAAGGATTTATTAAATGACATATTTCAGAGATTAATGATACTCTTGTCAGATTAATGCAAATCTCGAGATAGAAATTACACCAATGGGGTAACAATGGATTTCATACATCCGGAATTCCCATTGAACTCCAAGAGATTTGGAATTCATCTTTTCTTCCTTAAATTGTATACAAATCACAATCAAAGATAATCTATTATAATTCATTCATAACAGATAGAGAATTAAGATCGCCATACATAAAATAGGTCAATTAAATGAAAATTACTATACAATTCCATGAGTCTTTATTTTTAATGATATACATATAAATTTTTTTTTTCGTCTTTGTTTTCATTTAAAACCATAATAAATAACCTTGAGGAAACTAATTTTCACCCTACTTGCATCATATTCACTGGCTAAGACATGTTATTCATGGTGATGTAAACAAAAACTTTTCTGATGTTATGCTGACTCACTGTCTGATTCATCGATTGGTTAATGTGTATCCATTCTGTAGTTGTTTTCATGGCTATTATTGTATTCATTAATATGACACGCAAACATTCATAAAATATTCTCTTTGCGTTCTCCAGCTTCTTTTTGCACAAGCACATATGCAATACATCGAGTATTTCAATCGTCAATAATATTATTCTTCTGAATTTCTTATTTCTCTTTACTTCAATCATTCGACGAATCAAATTGAAAGGTAGTTGTTAAGTAAAAGAAAAATGTCGAGTAATAAATAAAAAACACATTGCGTTTAAGTTTTACCTTGTTGTATCGTTCTTTCAATAGAAACGAAACAGTCCCATAAAAAATTTACCTGTACATACCAATGGCATCATCATCATCATTCACGCCAGAATTACTTCGACTCTCATCAACACCACTTTCACCATTAGAATATTTTACCGATTCATCAAATACGATCAATATCAAATCGGATGTTGTTTTAATTGTTGGTGAAAAAAAATTTTATTGTCATCGTTTATTATTAACATTAGTTTCACCTGTATTTGTACGTATGTTTGACGGTCCATTTAAAGAACATAACGAACCAGAGATAGTTCTTGAAGGAAAATCAAGTGAAAGTATACTTGAATTATTAAAATATATTTATCCACAATTTAATGGCCAGATTACAAATAATAATATTGAAGATTTTCTTCAATTAGCTGATGAATATATGATTGAACATCTTAAACAACCATGTAAAAATTTTTTACTTCAACAACTTGAATTATTCAAATTTGTTGTATTACCAACACATAAGAAACTTGAACAAGTATTCATTATCTTTTTTCTTTTTACAATTCTATATTTTTTTTTATATTATTTTCATAGTCATGCACTAAGTCAAAAAGTTTTCATGCAAGTGATTCAGCATTGAATTCACCACGACATAATGAAGATAATTTGTCAGGACAAGGAAATTCAAGTCGTCCTACTTCATCACATCGATCAATTACAAGTCCTCGAAATCCTACTACAAAACCCAGTTCATCGCATCTTAAATCAGGCGATAAAACAGGATCATCATCAAATAATCCGTCTCATTATGTACTTCTTCTTGATAAAACTCAAATGCCTACTTTCTATGATGGACATAATACACAAGTTCCATTTAGTAATAGCGAACTTGAAACTTGGCTTCGTCGTTTACGTATTCTTTATCAAATTGATAAAGGTCGCAATTATGGTGAAGTTATTGATTATATTTTAAGTATTCTTCAATTTATACCTGCTACTCTACTTTTATCTCATTCACATATTGCAATGGATACTTATACAACAGATGAAATTATGTTAAACGACTTAGCTCGTGCACGAATGTTTGCTCTTGAAGAATGGATTTCTGATGGTGATCCACATCGTTCAGTAAGCTTAACAGAATCCTATCGAACAATGTCTCCTAATGCCTTGATTATTGCTCAACAAGCAATAGCTACTGTAACAGACGTAATTAATAATGAAGAACATTCTTTTCAACCAACTATAATTACAATGTCCGATAATGAAGAGGAAGTTCCAACGAATTTTTTAAATAATACTGACTAAACTTTTTCTTTACATCAATTATTTAAAACCAAATACAATTTTTAATATGAACCTCGGCGCACGTTATTTTTTTCATTACCAGTGATCTGCATGGATTTCTTTTTTTTTATTTGATGTTTCTGATCGAGTTTTGAATAAAATTCACAGTATTAATGTTAACAAATATATGAAGTGATACATTTTAGCGACCTCTATTATAAAGTCCTCAGAACATGTTCGAGTAGTTTACGAATCATAATTTTTCTTGCAGTTGTGTTGTGTTGTGTTGTGCTACCTCCTCCTTCATCTTCTTCTTCTTAAACATTTTTTGGTTGATTGTCAATTTTTACAATTCAAAAACAAAAAAACAACCACAGCAGCAATATTTGTTTTTCCATATAAAATCTTTTTTAAAATACAAAACCAATTCGTATGTCCTTGATTCATTTAAAAAATATTCTTTCTTGTTCAAGTGAAGATCGCGTTAGTTCAGATCAAAAAAAACTTTTTGTTTTTCAATTGATTATTTCTTCGATTTAGGTTCACTGTGCTAAAAATTTACTTAAACCAGAACAATATAAAAAATGGCTATCATCGAAAAGTACTGAAGAACGTATAATATGTATTCTTGAATTTGAAAAACCTAGTTTGATATCGTCTGTGGATATTGGCAATGATGGTAGTGCATTTATTGAATTATTAGTTTCTCACTCATCATCATCAAAACCTGATGATTGGACTGCTCTTTTACCTTCAACAATTTTCATGACTCCAAATGAATCACGTTCAAATAAAAATCGTAATCAAATTAAATCTTTCAAATCTTATCAATTAAATAAAACATGTTTAAATGAAGAATGGGATCGATTAAAAATAATATGTGATCAAAAATTTAATCGTTCAAATCAATTTGGTTTAAGTTTTGTTAAATTATATTCAACGGTTGATGATAATAAACAAATAGAAATAGGTAATAAATCTTTGACTAATATTGCTGATGAAGATGAAACGAAGAAAGAAGAAAATCAAACTAAAAAAAAATTAAAATCAATATCTAATGATGATGACGATGATGATAAACATGTTTCATCAAATGTTTCTGATGAATTATTAAGCAAAAAATCAATAAATGATAATCAAACTCAAAAATTAAAGAAAAAAGATGTTAAAGTAAAATAAAACAAATATTTTTCATTTAAAAAGTTTTTTTTCTTGTCTTTCAGAATAATAAATCACAAATAATGAAAAACATTGCGTTTGTTTTAAGTGGTTTTCAAAATCCCTTACGATCACAATTACGTAATAAAGCAACTGCAATGGGTGCTACTTATAATGATGATTGGAATGAGAAATGTACACATCTTATGTATGTTTAGATAATTTAATTATTTCAATAGAAACAAAAAAAAAATACATCGTTGAGCAAAAGTCTTCTCCCTGTTTTTAAAAACGTTTACTATTTTCTTTCGTTTTATTATGAAACTAATATAGAACATAAATACCACTCTAGACATGACTCGGTCTTATGTAACAAATGTTAAAGTGTAAAATGGGGATCGAAATCGCGAATGGTTTTTCCTGTCATTCTTTCGTAAGATTTTAAACATGTCACTTTCACTATCACAATGTTATGAAATTATATTTCTCAAGCTATACCTACTGGGCCCTACAATGTCAAATAAAGTCATTTCGAAGTACATTGAATGCGAACCAAAAGTATTACGGCATTGACTCGCTAGATGACAACAAAATGAAGGCCTGTCCAATTTACCAAGAACTGACCAATCACGTGTTACATCGAAGAAAACGGATACAAAGATTGTTATTATTGCTAAACATGAGCTGAACTTTACATCAAATGACATTTCAAAAATTCTAAAAGACAGTAGGGTGGATACAGATCTAAATACTGTTAGACCGATGAGAAGACATTCAAACTTGGCAATAATGGGAGAAAAGTTTGACGATGTTCAGATGTTACCAAAGTTGTTCTTCATACAGTTTAATATATCCTTTCAAGTTACACGTCTTGGGATGTCTTTCAAAACAAAATTTCAGACAATTAATTACTCTCAAATACTATTTGACAGGAAATTTTATATGCATCCTATATGACAAAATAGATCCCAATTGGAAGATCGACAATCGAATTCATCTTCTATCTTGTCTCTCTTCCTTACCAGACCAAAGCCCAATTGAAAAACGTTTGACCAATGATGAAGGATACAATAAATCGAAAAAAAATTCCTATAACTCTTGAGTTAGAGCAAGAACTTAGGAAAGATGAGTACGATGTTTGATGAATGCGAATGGTGACTATACATCATATTAAAATAAAATAGCTTCATTATACTTTACTTTGATAATAAGAAGAAAGTAAATATTAAAAATTAAAAAAAAAAAGGAAAAGAGAAAGGGAAAGACTTTTGTCTAGTGGCGTAATTAAATAAATCTTTTAATTTTAGTTGTGCTTTTCCAAATACACCAAAATTTACAGAAGTTCAACAAACAGAAAAAGGTTTTATTGTTAATAAACAATGGATAATTGATTGTCATAAAAAAAATCAATTATTACCTGAGAAATCATATGAATTAAAAGAAACAAATGACAATGAAACAAAACAACAAACACCAAAAAGAAAATCAGAAACAAAAAAAAGAAAGACACAAAATGAAGATGAAAATATTATTTCAAAAGATGTTAAAAAAAGAACTCCTGTGAAAAAAAAACCTACAACGACTAAAGAAGATAAAAAAAAGAAGAACAAATTTGAAGAAATACCAGCTGTTTTTCATGGAAAACATTTTTATGTATCTTATGGTGACTATGATGATAATACACTTTTGGATATAACCCGAGTTATTCTTGCTTATGATGGAATTTTGGAAAGACAAATTACTCCAGATGTTAAATATGTTATTACAAATCGAATGTGGAATCAAGATTTTGCAAAGGTTTAAATAAATTTGTTTGTTTACAGTTATTGAGGAATAGTATCGAGTTAGCGATATTTTTTTTCTTTTACTGATATTAAAAATAGTGTCCGACGGGCTTTACACAGTCACGGCTACAGAAGTAGTCATATGTTCTGCGCCTGTGTTAATTGCATTAGTTTGTTCCCAACACAAATAATTTATTCATTTTTTCTGCATCAAAATAAGTCTGCATAAATGTTACAGGATAAATGATAACTTAGGAAATATAAAAATTTTTCCCGAATTCAAATTTCTTCTGGCGATACAAACATCACAACGAGCACAAAACATAATAAAAGTACATATTGTATTATAAATACAGTTAAACGAATCCACACTTATATGTTTCTATTCTATTGAACAGAATAAAATTAATTAAGAACATAGTTTTCTTCTTCTTGGTTAATAATCTGATTATTTTCATTTGTTTTTGCCTTTATCTAACTTCCGTCACAATAAACATCGTTCAAAAAACTAAATCACGACTCATGACGAACTAGACAGAATGACCATGAACAAAAAACTTTGTCACATCGAATACTACTTTCTACAGACATAAGAAATAATAAAACGAAATGTGACATGAGAAATAGATTAAGTTTAAAGTTAATTAATAATATCGATTCATATTATTCAAACCGAACAAACACACAAGATGGGCATATCTGATGAAGATTTATTTAGTATGTAAAGTTCATATATAGGAATTGTAGTTCTTATGCGAAGCTCGAACAGAGAAGGTAATTGGATGTACGAGCCTCGAATATGTTAATAGCTTTTCTTGTCGAAACACATCTTATTATTAATTTCTTTTTAGTATGCTCTTGATACAATAGTTGTGTTAAATATACATGAAAAATTATTTCTCACATTCTATTTTTTTTTCTATTTATTGATTTAAGTCAGCTATCTTAAGGAAACAATGCTCTTCTACTATTAAGGTAGTAATTATTCAGAGGCAGTGATAGCTAATCGAGGATTAAGTTTGACTGTGATAGTGTGAGAAAAGTGAAGAATGACTCATGCCTATTTATCGGCTAGTCTGGTCCAGTCTGATCTTTAAGATTATTTGAAAATATTCCAACCGACAGTATTATCATAATCTGTTGTAATGAAGAAAGTCAACATTTTCATTTTTTGATCATATCTTATCATTCATGTTGTCAATAACCTAGATATATAATACCTGGCCAAGAAGCAATGATTTTATTAATTTAAATCTTTTTATTTATATATTTAGATCTCAAAATCAAATCCAGATATAAATTTTATTAATCTTGATTGGTTACAAGATTGTCATGATGCAAATCAATTTGTACCAATGCAACCATATTTAGTTGTTCCTTAGAGTGAACATAATGTATTTCTTTTTTAACCAATGCAGATAAACAATAAAATAAATAATGTTTATGCCATTCTTTTTTTTTTGTTGTTCAATTACCTGTGATATAGGAATAAAATTCTCTTTGATTTCAGATAAAAAAAAAGAGCAAAATGACTGAAACAATGATTGTTGATCAATCAAGTACGACAACGATCGGTATGTTTACTTGTTTTAATTTTCTTTTTCTTTCTATTATATTTATTCATATTGTTTTTAAAATTCCGTTTATTAATTTAAAAAAAACTCGGTTTTGTTTTTTCTCTTTTCTTGTCCATGTTGCAGAGGAACATTTGTCAATTGTGTGAGTGTTGTCGATCTACATTCAATCATCGATGACCAAAAAAAAAGAACTAAATATATTAGACAGAATTTAAAAAGAAAACATGTTTTATTTTGTTCTTTTATTTCTCCCTATTTTAGGTACCCAGCAAGAATCTACTTATCATTAAAAAAAACGAATTTTTTCTTATTTTTTATTGTTTTTTTACATATTCGTTGTTTTTTTCTCTTTCTCTCTATCCCTTTTTCAGCTACAATATTCAAACATCTTATTCGTATGCCTGATCGTCTAAAATTATTTATTCTAAAAGTTCGTATATAAAAAAAGAAATATATTTTTTTTATTTTATAGAGAGTACTAATGAATCTCAAACAACAAATGGTATTGAAAGGAAAAAATATTCTATACAAAATATTCCACGTTTACCACGTGAACTTACACTATTTGCACCGTTTACAGCTGTTATTGAACTTGATCAACGTGGTCCATTATTTAAAGGACCAGGAGCAAAACGTGATACAGGACGTTATAAAATTCGATTGGCAGATGATGAAAATGTGAAACGTGCAAAAAAATATGCTTTGGAACAAAGTGTTAAATATGTTCTTATGAAACAACAACAACAGCAACAACGTGTACAATTAGATAGTATTAAAAAACAACAAGCACTTTTATTAATGTGTCGGTAAGAAATTCAAAAAGGAAAAATATTTCTGAAAAGTAAAAGATGATATCAGATTTGTATTTTCTGTTGTGAAACATGATTTTAAGAGCAGGGTTGAAATACATAGTATAGAAATTTGTACTTCCCCACAGACTATAACAGATGCTTTAGCAACGTTTCCCTTCTCCATTACTAATGTTGTTGATATACGATTGAAGATCGTTTATCAATAACATCTCATTCTAATATATGAACTAATATCTTATTGCAATTCTGGAAGACTAAATAAAAGGATAGGTAAAGAAATGTGTTCCAAAAAAGAGATAAAATAAAATAATCTTTCTATGATTAATAAGAGCAGCTACATTATGTTTCACATTTTAATCTTGCAAGAATTGTGCCAAGAGTTTTTTTTTCTTACTTAGAATTTATATTGGCAGTATTAATTTTGAATTAAATGAAGCAATGCTTAAACAAGCGTTTCAACCGTTTGGTCCAGTTAAAGCTGTTTCATTAACATTTGATCCCGTTACTAATCGTCATAAAGGTTTTGCTTTTCTTGAATATGAAATACCTGAAGCAGCACAATTATCTATTGAACAAATGAATGGAGTTATTCTTGGTGGAAGAAATATTAAAGTAAAGAAGAAAAAAAAACTTTTAATTACTAATTTAACCTGTTGTGTTTTGAAATAGGTTGGTAGACCGTCGAATATGCCACAAGCACAACCAATTATTAATCAATTAACTGAAGAAGCGAAAAATTATAATCGAATTTATATAGCTTCAATTCATCCAGATTTGACAGAGAACGATATTCAAAGTGTTTTTGAAGCTTTTGGTAAGAAAATAAAAAAATTACAAAGATTTATTAAACAATAATTATTTTTATAGGTAAAATAAAAACCTGTACTGTAGCAAAAGATGCAACAATAAATAAACATAAGTAAGATATATTTTTTCATATAATTATTAAATAATGTCATGTATGCGTTTCTTTGTTTTTTTTTAGAGGTTATGGTTTTATTGAATATGAAACAATTCAAGCAGCACAAGATGCAATTAATGCTATGAATTTATTTGATCTTGGTGGTAGGTTTCCGTATTTTTCTTTTGAAAGAAATTGTTTTTTTCTTGTTAAATTTATATTTCTTTCTTTCTAGGACAATATCTTCGAGTTGGAAAAGCAATAACACCACCTGAAGGTTTATTAGCTTCAACACCAGCAGCAGCAAGTTTAATGCCAACAGCTACTGCATTAGCTGTTGCTACAATTACAGCTCAATTACAGGCTAAAGATGTTGAAACAAATCCACAACCAACTATAGTACGTTTATTTAATAAATACTTCATGTTTTCCTAATGATTTACGAATATTCGGAAAAAAGTCTTACGTGGAAAGTTCCCAAACTGATAAATCACTTTTGAGTTGAGACTATATACAGTATTTAGACGTCAAATGAGCTATGAATATCCTGATAAGAGTTCATATTCTTAGCTTGTTGCTACGGAGATACTGTATTTTTATGATATTTTTTAAATGAATGTTGTTGTCTCCATCCGGAAAACTGATTTTTGGAATTACGACTTGAAACTTTGCGTAGAGATAGGCGTGTCTTTTACATCGCTCATACACATCGGCAGATTCAATATTCTTATGTCAGAATAGAAACAAGTTAAGAGACTTGAAACTACTCTCGTTAAGGCCTGTCTCTATGTAAAATTTCCAGTCAAAATTCAAAAATCAGTTTCGGGATCGCAGCATTTACTAAATATACCGTAAACATGTGGTATCTACATAGCAACAAACTAAGAACACTAACTCTTTTCAGGATATTCATAGCTCATGTCGGTCTACATTATATGCGTAGTCTTGACTCAAAGGTGATTTATCAGTTGGAAGACTTTCCTCATTTGCAGAAACAACATATTTTCTAGAAGGTTAATAAATTATTGAGGTCTTTACTCTTATACGACTATCATTAGAACTATTATTTGACGTCCATCTAGATTCATGTAGGCCGAAATCGATAAAAAAGATATAGTATACGAAATTGTCACTAGTTTATCATGGAGATGTAAAGATTTGACTACAAGGAGCACAAACAATAAATGAAGTTAGTTTGAACTATATCCATCTAGTCGTTTTTTTATAATCTTATTATTCTTTATTTTCGAGACGTTTGAAATCATATTGCTTGATCTACTGTATCATAAGACAAACAACCACGTATGACTAACTGATGTTATAAGTTTACTGTATTAAGTGTTTCCAACGCATATCTAACATGACATAATTCGATTACTTGTTATGAATGTATAATATTATAATGAATCTTACTGAATAACTGGTGAATATCATCAACATAGTCTACCATTCCTCACTAGAGCATATCCAGGAGATGAACAGTTACATCTAATATTGTGTACTTCTAAGAATATAATGGAACTGGATCGGATCCACACCGACTCCAGATAGTCGTTTGAGGATCAATGACGCATTCAATACTAATTAGCAATGTACCGAATTGAGTCTTTGTTCTGATTTTTGAGAAAACTATTTCAAAAAATATGTTCATATGAAATTTACGAAAATCTTTATTTTCGTTATTCAAGTGTTTCAACTCAATGATTGTCACATTCTTGATATATTCTCTTCTTGATAAAGGAAATAGTTCACTCATAAATAATTACACATTGGATTCAAATTTTTCTGATTTTATACATTTCTATTCTTGACTCGATTATTGTTATTATTATTTTTAGGCTGCTTCACAAATAATCAATAATCCATTAGCACAAGTTGGATTTATTGGTGGTCCGATTGCACCAACAACTGTTGCTGCTGCTCTTTCTGCTGCTTCGTATTCTGGTGCAACAGCTGTTACATCAAGTATAGAAATCATTTTTAAAGAATATTAAGTTTTGTTTAAATTCATTTTTTTTCAGTGATTTCTACTATACTCAATCCAACTACTGCTATAACAAATCCAATTCCTCAACCTGCCGCTGTTGGTTCGTCTGGAATTCGTTCAAAGTAAATCTTTTATAATAGTTTAAATTTTATTGATAGTTTATTGATTTATTTATTTATTTATTTATTTATAGTTTTCCTACACCACCTGCATCAAATGTTACCAATTCACCATCAATACAACAAATACCAGTTCCACTTCCACAAGGTAAAATGTTTTTGTATGTTAATTTAAACACAAAATACATATCATAAATTGATATATATTTAGTTATAATTCCACCACCATCAACTATACTTGAAGAACCATCTGTTGCTGTTGGATTAAAACCTGATTTAGAATCCAAACAACAATATCCATCAATATCACTTGTTTTACCAACAAATGAATCAGAAATAACTGACAATCAAAAAACTGTTTTAGCTTTAAATATTGCCGAAGATTCTACAGCACCTTTATCTCAGCAAGAAGAACTTAGTGTTAAAGGTATATATTGATTTCTATTACATATGAAAGACGAAAAACAAAACCAAAATCATATTTTTGTTTTTGTTAATATTAGGTCGTGAACAAAGACATTTATTAATGCAAAAATTAAATCAACGTCGACTTGAATCACGTGTATGTGTATTAAGAAATATGGTTGGCCCAGAAGATGTTGATGATGATTTACAACAAGAAATAACAGGTGAAATTTAAATTGATTTTTTCTTTTTTATGTTAAAAATTTTCTTTTTTTTGTTCTTGTAGAAGAATGTTCAAAATATGGTGAAGTTATTAAAGTTGTTATTTATACTGAACAACAAGGAGAAGATGATAACGCTGAACAAATTGTGAAAATTTTTGTTGAATTTCAAACAAATAAACGTAAATATCATATATTCATTGAATTGATAAATTTATGTCAAAAAAAAATTTTGTATTTTGTTTTCTAGAAGCAGAAAAAACGGTTCAATCACTTAATAATCGATATTTTGCTGGTCGAATGATAAAAGCAGAATTATATGACCAAACAGCATATCAAGCTGATGATCTATCTGGTTAAAAGGACACTAATTCTCTTTTGTTTTTGTATATGCTTTTCTTTTTCTTCTGTTAAATAACAAATAAAAAAATTTGACACATATAGAAAATTCATACGAAATTTTTTTGATGCTTTTTTTTCCTCTTAAACTGCAGATAAAAGAAAAAGAGACTATGAGATTATCTCCAATAGTACGTTTTCTATCATCAAATGGATTTTATGTTCATATTAAAAATAAAACTCCCGATTGGCAACCATTATTAAGTCAAAGTGAAAAAATTATTGGTTATCCATCATCATTACGTTCATTAGTTAATCTTAAATATTTATTTAATGAAGAAGTATCAACATTAATTGGTTATTTAAGAAAATTAGTTGGCACACAACATCCATTACTTAAACTTGCTGCAAATATGTTAGAAAGTCCACCGAAAGCCGCACATTCAAGATCAGTTTTACTTTTATTAATATCAAAAGCAGCAGGTATTCCACAAAATACTTATCAAGAAGATATGGTTCAACATGGTATCCATCAACATCAAAGACAATTAGCTGAATTAATTGAAATGAGTAATAATTGAATATTTTATATAGTTCTATCCCGTTTTCTTCGACAACGTTCTTTTCCTTTAATAGACTGTGCTTTAAGAATTAAGCGTTGTTTAGTCGACAAGTTAAGGTGCAAGTAATAAAGAACACCAAGAATCACTGCTGACTTATTAAAATTTAAACTAGAAATATGACTAATAGCAATATATTTGTTTATTTTTAAATATTAACATTGGACAAGAAGAGGTGCAAGTAAGAACGCGAATATTGTCCGTGTGATAATTATCGCCGACAAGCCGATCGGTATAATGTGTGCTATACCGGCGGTATTTTTGAACATGTTCTATGATGGTGTATTGTATTAAAACGGGTGAATATTTTTTGAAATCTGTTAAGATTGATAGAATTGAGCCATTTTCAATGCACACTGATGATGTTGATGCATCTGACCGTCTACACCAGTCACAGAGTCCAAATCAGCGCCAGTTACGAGATAAATTTTTACTATCAATAGCGCTACAAAAATTTTTAATAGTGAAATATATTCTAAAGCTGTTTTGTTTTCGATTAATTTGAACTCTTTCTAATCAATCATTCAAATTTAGGTTGAAAACACTCTCTGGAATCGATTATAGATGGAACCGAAAGTCGTACACGCTACTACCAGTTCTTATGAGTACCGAGGTATACTGATGATAGTGCGAACAAACGTATGATGTGTCCTGTTGCTTCCTAAAAAAATGAATACGCATTATGTTCTTCATTAACTAAACCTTAATTTGTTGGCCAAACGCTTAATTATGAGACTGCTATCTGTTCAAGGAAGAAAAGTTGTCAAGGAAATGGGATAATACCGTTTATATGGGTTTGTTTTCGATGTCGCTTGGTGGACATTTTCTTCCTTCATTTAAGAAAAAATATCCACAATCAAGAGGACACAAAGTTCTATTGAATTATTCTTTTTTTTTTGTTTTAGTTCATTTAGGTATCCTTGGTCATCGAGGTAATGAAAATAATTTTAAGAAAACGAAAAGAAAATTTTTAACTTTTTTTGTAGGTATTGTGGATTTAAAAGACCATCACAATGATTTAGAACAAGGAAATAAAATAGCAGTCTTAGGTGGAGATTATCTATTATCACAAGCTTGTGGTAAATTAGCTGAATTTCGAAAACCTCAAGTAAAATAAAGTATTTGATTTACTCTTATTAATATTTGATAATTTTTATTAGGTTGTAGAAACTATTGGTAATGCTATTGCAGATATGTGCAAAGCAGAATTTTATTTAAAAGATAAACAATCACTTTCATCATTAACAGAATGGTATCAACTAACTGCACTGTAAGTATTTGATAGAACAATATCTTAGTTTTATTATAACAGGCTGCACTAAATTTGAATCTTCGGAGTTTAATAGTGTTATAATTTTAGGAGAAAATCTCGATAAACAGAATAGAGTTGGTCTGCTATTGGAAATAACCATTTTTGAACAGTCCCATTCCATTCAAAAGAACTAACGGGTATGCCAGAACAGATGTTCCACTAAGTATTTTCCAATATCTCTGATCAATTCTTGCAAAATTTTAAGTAGAACAATTAGCTAAATAATATTGGGAGGCTACAATAGGTCCACCCTTTCAAAAGTTGTTTTCCTGAACAATTCAGCATTTTTTTGCTAACTTTGTACAACTATCATAAAACAATAAAGTATATTTAGAATTATATCTAAGTATGCTTTTTTTCATGATGTACAGTGAAGTTTGTTTTAATCCATAGTTTTTTTCGTTCGAAATTCTAACGAATAGATCAAAACAGATTGGCTTTTAACATGTGACAATTAGGCAAGTTGGAACCTCGCAGTATTATTTATTCAATTTTTCTGCTCAAGGTTTTGTAGTAAAACTTGTGATACGCTCTTGAAGAGAATTGTATCGTGAATCTTTTTTTAAGAAAAAGAATTAAGACACGCCGACAAATGTTAACCGAGATACTAAGAAAATACTTAGAGGGACATTTATTTTGGCGCAATCAATATTACTAAATCCTAGACTACTTCTATTGCTGTTGTACATATTCAAATAATAAGACTTTGGTTCCAAATCTATTTCAGATTCATTACAGACTTAAGTTAAAGCTAATATCACTACTAAACGTCAATAAGGTCGATTTCGTCATTAGAAAGAAATGATTTGAAAGTTGTAGGTGTGAGCCTGGTCTTCATCCACACACATATCACATTTTATAAATAATGCATTTAGTAACTTCAGTTGTTGATGACTATAACTTGGAAGTTACTTTAATTAATAAAACATAGACCTGTAGTTGAAATTTCGGATCAAACAATAATTGTATGAAATATTGATGCTACATACATGTCAAAAGTAATACATCAACAAAAATATTCTTGATCAATTTTCTTATGAATATAAATAATAAGCTGTCTTTTATTAGCAATGAAAAACAAGCAGTCCATTTTGGAGAAAGAATGCCGAAAAATATACTAACTTTTCTTCTCGACAAGATAACTATTGAGTTACCATATATTATTGTGAATAGACTAATTACGTGTTTGAGATACCTGTAAAAACTGCCGATACTCACGGATACTCATGATAACTGTCGTTATTTTTTACAATTAAAATAAAAGTAACTATAGGTGTCGATATTCACAAAAAAGGCAATATTCCAGTTGGAAACAAAAAGTGCAGCCTATAATGGATGTCCGTATGATATACCTTTCCAACTCTATCTTTTTTTGTAGCTTTGACGGTATCCATGAGTATCCGCAGCAGTTTTTATAGATATCCACATGTTTTTAGTTGTTAGAAATGTCATATTCATTGTTGAATGTACTGATCAGTAATCACACCAAACTCATCTAAATATTTGTTTGTTTCTGCGGACCTAAGTGAATATATAAATATGAAAAATCAATTAAAACCTCATCGAGCTTCTTTCTTATTTATTCAATAATTTCCTACAAAATTTGATATTCTTTGACATCATAATCCATAGGTTATTAATTATTATCATTCTTAAGATCATTGATATTACTTGATTCTATTTTTTTTTTAAGTTAATAAAATATCAAGAAATATCTACTGATTTTATTTTAGTTCTGTAGCAAATTTAGTTGCATCAGGTTGTCGTGCTTCACTTCAATTAGTTGATCATTCACCATCATTTCAAGATCAAGCATATTATTTATGTCGACATATTATATTTTCATGTTTGATGTATAATGAAATATCTCAATATTCATCATCATTTTCAAATGATTCATCTTCTTTAACACTTTATGGAACTGTACCTATGAATCGTTCATTTCCTTATTCAGTAATGAATAAATCAAATCATGAGAATGTCACTTTTGAACAATTAAATAATGAAGAATTACTTAATCAATGTCGTGAACAATGTTTAAAAGAAAGTAATAAAGCATTAAAATTACTTCAAACAAATTTTGATCAAAAATCATCAGCAACAACACTTCTACGTTCAATTATTCAACAAATTCAAGATGGTCTTTTTTCAAAAAAAGTTATTTAAATTTGTTTTTATTTGTTTTTGTTTCAAATAGAAGAAAAAACAATTCAATAATTTCGATTATATATAAATATTTGCAATTTTTTCATTTGAATCTTCATTACCATAAACAGGTGTTATTGAACGCACAGCTTTATAACCATCATTATTATTATTTAATAATTGAATAGAATTTTTTGTTGCTGCTCTTTGTTCATCATTTAATTCAAAATTTCTATTGTTGTCATCATCATCATCATTTAAATGACTTTGAACATGAATCATATTTGTTGGTGTTTGACTTTGTTGATTTCGTGCTGCTGATAGCCGTGCTTCCATTTTTTCTCGATGTTTTTGTTCAACACGTTCCCGACTAGAGAAAAAGAAAAACAACAAAAAAAAAAGCTCTTAACACAATTTCTGTGAAATAAAATATGAAACACAATATACGTAGATGTTATTTATATCCTCAAGGAGATAATTGCCAAGGTGCCCATTACGGTCTATGTGGATTGCTAGAATGTCTGGGGAGAGAAGGGTAGCCGATTCAAATTTCTATTCTGTGTAACTTCAACGCTTTATTTAGATCGTCAGTCACGAAAACTCAAAATAATGAAGATGAAATTGATTTTTACTTACGCTAAATTTGCTTCATGAGCTTGATCAATTATTTGACCAACTTCAATTATATTTTGAGTTTTAGTTATTTTTTCATTCATTTTTGTACGTAATAAATTATTTTGTCTTTCTCTTTCATTTTCTAATTTAACGTCCATACCACTCATTTTTTCTATTATATCTGATGTTTGCTAAATAAAAGATAAAGAAGAATTATTTCGTTTGTTTTTTATAAGTATTTTTGAAATTTAAATACTTTTTCAAAAACATCAGCAGATAATGCACATGTTTTCCGATTTTCTTCTGCACGTCTTTGTCTTTCACGTCGACGAATATATTTAATAACAGCAGCTTTATCTGATGGATGTTGTTGTTGATTTTGATTTGGTGTAAGAAGTGCTTCAAAATATGCTTGATATGTTGCATTCATACCTGAATTTGGACGAAGATCAGCAAGACCACGAATATCATGTTTTTGTCGTAAGAAAAGTGAAATTGGTATTGCATTTTCTTTAAGAAAAAAAAAAATAAAAAAGAATAGTAGACATACTTTTTTTTTTATGTACCTTTTCGTCTTTGCATTGCTAACTCTTTGTTTCTTGTAATTTCTTCAAGTTGTTTTTTATATTTATCTTGTTCACGTTGAAATTCATCATATGAATTTCTTAACATATCTCGACTTTCATCTAATGTGGTCATCAAATTTATACTATCTTCATTTCTAATTGTTTCAAATGCATGTAAAATAAGTTCCTACAAAAAAATTGCTTGTATATCTATATAAAATAATTCATATTCTTTTAGTCTTACTTGACTTTGTGGAGTTAAAGTCGTCATATCAGGCGTGGATAATTTTCTACCATCATGACTTCGTATACGTTTATCACGTGCATTTATTGTTTGACGAACTTTTGTGGTTAAATTTTCTTTTCTTTGTGGGTGTTGAGCATATATTTCAGTTGTAGATGATGCTGATAAAGTATTTCGATCTTGCATGGGTGATGGATATCTATTAGAATTCATTCCTTTTTTTCACACACAATAAAAACTTTTTTGCTTTTAATTTGAGTAATAAAAGAGAAAAAAGAAATAAGTAAATGTATGGTGAAATTAAAAAAAATAAAAGGAGACGAGCTATTCAAGACAAAAAAAGGCGAGAAAAGGAGTGGGTGAAAATACTAGCTTCATTTTTTCAAGTGACAATTTTTTTTTTCTTTTTTTTTTTGCATTTTCTTATTTAATCGAGTATGAATGGAACAGTATCACTTCAAATTTTCTTGAAAAGGGAAAAAAACAAGTATTCTATTGAAAATAAAATTACAAAGTAGATGTGGCAACTTTTGACTTTAGTCGTTAGACAAGACGGTTTTTCAATAGTTCAACTTTAATGATATTATTAAAACAAGATACTAGTTTCTATTTAAGATCTTTAATTTATTTTTCTTGTAATTTTAATACCATTGTTGCTACTTTTTCTGAAAATTCTAAAATGAACCTTGCCAAAAACATCACTGTCATAGGCTGCATACTAAATGAAGAACCACATCAAATAACAATTGTTCATGATTATCTTGAAGTATACCAGACAAATCAAAAACTATGAGCGATGATCAGAAATATGATGTTCTTTCTGAATATGGAATTAGACATATTGTGTCTATTTTTGTTTGAGAGTGGTGCGAGAATATTTGAAAGACCCTACAAAAAAAAACCGAATTGAATACTGAATCAACCGACTTTTGTTAATCCCTCTACGTCCTTTTTCGAAGGTGCTAAAAATTATCGGAGTCGATCTTTTTGTCGAGCGGACACTTCTTTACAAAATGTTATATTGAAGTAAGCTGTATTTTTTATCCAAGTGTTATAGTACATTTTGTAGGATACCTTTTGCTGTACGAGTTGGTATATTAATAAAGATTTGATCTTTTTACTTTCGAGTCACAATAATGAAACTACAAAAAATATGTGGGACAATTTTCCGTCTAAACTAATTTTCTTTGAGCCTCTCAAAGATTATCCGTGTAGTCTCGAACAAAGGTTGAGTCAACATTTCTTAGGCTACATTCGAAAAGAGGGCTAAATTCTAATCCTAGCTTATAGCTTTTGATTTCTTAGAAACACTTTTATTTGATTGCGAAACTATTGGTTCACTCGTTATTTATTTCATTGATATAGTACAATGAATGTAACATAAAGTACAAAAGAATATGAGTAAAAAGAGCCACGTTCAATAGAAAATTTTGGACAAGAACATCTCGTTGGATGTTTCGGTTGTCGCATTGCCGAGACGACTTCAAATGAAAAAAAAAAACATTTTATTGAGGGAAGATTGACTGATGAATTTTACTTGTAAAAAATCCCAATCGTTTAAATAATGCGTTATTAACAATTACAAAAAGATTTTTATTTTTAAATAAATTGATAAACATTCAAACTATTTGCAGCATCCGAAGAATTAATTTGTTTTTTTTTGAGTAATTGTCAGCTTAGGTACCAAGCAACTATGAAAATATTATAACAATTTGACATTTCAGTGTTAATGAACAACTGATGTTGTACTACGCAGGAAAAATTAATATAGAATTTTCTTTTGAATAAAAACAAAATATATAATTTAATTTGACATATTATTACCGAGAAATTTAACGACTTTCTACTAGAAATTTTTCTATTATAATTAAAATTTGATCATTAGCAATATGTTTATATGTATTTTTAATATTAATTAATTTTGTTTTTCTTAATTTCTATTTTTAAACTTTAAAAAACAATCGAAAATTCATCGAACAACTGTGTTTAATTTTCAAGGAATAAATCATAGATAACAATTAAATGAAAGTATTGAATTTCTTGTTAAAAATTTCAATAAGAAAAAAAAAATTGAAAGTGATACTTCTTATAAATTTGGTATTCAATCATTATGAACAACAGGTGAGAAAGAACTAGTTATGTCATAAAGAGAATAAAGAAAGAAAAAAAAAAGGTACAAATAAAAGAAAACAAATGAATAAAATCTCGTTCTTCTTTACCGTGTTATCGGACACAAGCTAAATTAAACGGAATAAAAAGATGCCGAATGCCAGTAAAGAGAAAAAAAGAGAACAGTCTCTTTTTTTTTTTATTGTATTTATAATAAAGTACATGATATAAACACAATATTAAGACTTAAAATGACTGTTTTTCTTATATGATCACAAGTGCATTTTGAAAAGACATAATGAATGATTATCGTAATTCGATTACTTTCGTTTATGTAATCATCTATTGAAGTGTGTATGACCTTTTCTTTTGTTCGTGTTCATAGGTAGTTAATATTCATATATAATCACATTCATTTATTGACTTAAATATGTTGGAAATAAGTCGTATTTATCTTAGTACTGGTTTATTACTGGCTATTTTCACATTAATATTTCATATAATTGCAATGGAATGTCCACGATGGAAGTAAGTTGTCTTCCAAAATCAATAAAAAAAAACCATTTTCATCTTATGTTACTGAGTGTTTCAAGTGGAGAATTATGTACCGTACATACATATATTCAAAGAGAATGAATTTCGATTTGATCATACTAAAACTCTGAGTTATACTTATCAATACCGAATAAGTGTATTAATGAAAATCTACAAATAATTATTTCGATATGGAAATAATCGATGAGATTAATTAAGTAAAAAAAAAACAAAAAGTTCCAGTTTTTTAAATATTAATGAGTCAGGAAAAATGTATATATAAACATCTCGAAAGATTTCGGAATAAACATTTTATATAAAAATTTTTTTTCTCACTTAGACTTAAAAAAAGAATTTTTACTTTAGAATCTATGAACATCGTCGAATTCCTAGTGAAACAATTTTTATTGGTTTATTTCACCGTTGTGAAAATCGACTTATTGATGGTGTTTTAAATACTAGTAAAATTTATCTTATTTGTGATGAAAATAAATATTTACCATATAATAAAAATCTATCTTATTTATTAAATAAAATTCAACCAATTGAAGCTCAACGTTTTTGTAATATAGCTGGTAATCCTTATCGTTGTAATTATTCATCAATAAATAAAAGTTTTATATCAAGTACAATTATAACAATATTTACACTTAGTTTATCTATTATTTCAATTTATTTACATTTACTTATTAATCAATTTAAATATAAAACACATCTTGGTATTGCTATTACAACAATATCTCTTCTATTTATTGCTTTTATATTTATTCTTATAACACTTATTTTACTTAGTTCAACAATGTCATATGATTTATTTGAATATCGTTATAATTTAAATTATCGTTTAATGCAACAAAGTATGTTGAAAAGAAAAAAAAAATTGATATTTTGTTTATTTTTTGTATTGTTTAGAACATCGAAATTTAACTACTGATTTTGAACAAAATATTCGGCAAATAGCTGCTAGTGATTATGATATTCGACTTGATTGGTCAGCTGGTTTAGAAATTATATCATTAATATTATCAAGTTTTACATTAGTTTCACAAATTCTTTATCTTTTTTCTACATATAGAAATCGAATTGGATGAGAATAAAAAAACAAACATTTCGTTTCTTTTTTCGAAACATTTTTAATGTACTTTTTTTTTGCTTTATTCTTTCACATTAGTTTTTTTTTTGAGATAAATATAAAAATTTGTATTAATTTCCTTGGAGGCGATGAAGTGTTGATGCATCGGGTTTCCATATACCAGAATAAGATTTCGTCGGTCGATTATCTAGATGAGAAAAAAATTATTTGTATTTTAATATTTTCTAAAGTTACAAACTCAAATCTAGACTTGATTATTACAATCTCGATTTTTGTTGCTTACCTGATGAATGTATTTCTTGTTGTCTGCCATGATAACGACGATCATTTTCTTTTTGTGTTTCAATCATGAGATTGGTAGGAGATGCATCAAAATCTTCATTTATAAAGAAAAAAAAACAATCAATCACAAGAAAATCAATTAATTAATAACAAAAAAAAAATTTACTTTCAATATTATCATGAGTTTGTTGATGACGTTTTCTTTGGGATGATGTTTGTTTAGTAAGTAATTTAAGAGCATTTTCAAGACGTGATTGTTTTAATTGTAATTCATTAATTTGTTTTTTCGATTCTTCTTCTTGACGTGATAATTTATTTTTTAATTCACGAATTTTACGTAATTTTTCATTATCATTTTGATTCGATGATTCTTTTATTTTAATTGGAGGAAGTATTATTTCTTTTCGTTGTTGTTCATCATTTTCATGTTCGTTTATGTTTATTTTATTGTCAATATTATTATTATCATCATCGTCATCATCATCATCATCATATAATTGAAGTGATTCAACAGGATGTTTTTGTTGATGTGTTGATGATGATCGTCGTAAAGGTGTTTGTAATTGTTTGGATTGTTGCC